CTTAAATCCAGTTTGAAATGTTCTCCCGCTAATTTCCACCTATGGCCACGAGTTCTTGTATTTGAACTAATGCTGAAGTAACTATTCGGTTGAACGGCATCCAAACCTGTTAGAGTCTTATAGACCTGGATCATGTCCCCCCTCAGTCTCCTTTGCTTGAGGCTGAACAGATTTAACCTTTCCTCGTATGACATTCCTCTAAGACCAGGAATCATTCTTGTGGCCCTACGCTGCGCCTTTCCTAAGGCCGCAAGGTGCTGTTGGCTTGCTTCGGGGCACATTTTGGGCTATTTCTTTGAACAGACAGCACCATTTAGATCAGTCAGTGGTTCAAGAAGCATATTTTTGGGAATCAGTAATACATACATATACAAATATCATTGGTCACTATATTAATACATCTAACTAGTACCAAGTTGTCTCCTGAACTTCAAGAGCAGACAAGAAGGAACCATCCTGCACATGTACAGCTGTACAGAGCTGGCATTTTTCCACTTGTGGCTTTCCTGTTAGCTTTAATGAATCTGACCATTCGCTACTGACCTCTCTCATTAACAGCCACATAAATGCCATTGACTGGATGTTTTTTCTTCATCGCACCACATAATTCACTATTTGGTGGAGCCCGTTTGTGCTAACAAGCAGGTATATATAATATACTGGCCACTGAGTACATATAAACATTACATATATTACATTACAATCCCGCGATTGCATTACAATCTTCTCCTGCAGCATTTCAGTGCCCACAGGCTGATGGGACATTTAGGAAGCATTCTCAGCATTTCAGTCACATCTGTGACAGGATAATAAATGTATGACAAGCACAGAGTTTATAATAACCAGAGCGAGTGGGAGGGATTTCAACTAATTTCAGTCTGTTGCTAATAAATGACTCAATGCTTTCTAACTGCATTAGCATTTCCAGGGGAAGCATCAGGATGAAGCTGCCTGGAAATCGATGACTTGGAGCAGCACCAGAGATGGAAAGTTCAGATTCAGAAAGTACAAATCCAGACTGAGATTTTGTTTCAACCAACCAGTTGAGTATAAAGAGTCACAGTCACAGAGTACTCAACTGGTTGGTTGAAACAAAATCTTGGTCTGGATTTGTACTCTCTGCAATATGGCTGTGCTGGAGGGGCCAACTTGAACACCCCCCCCCCCCCCAGCTGCAGAAAAACCAGTGTTACAAGCATATTTAATTATGGCGAAGAGAGAGAAACCACCATTTTACTGCAGCAAAGAATGAAGGAGTGCATTCAAAGTTGTCTTTTCTTGTCAGACTGTCTTGATGCGCAAAAACCTTCTGCTTCTCCCTCGTAGTCACATGATTGGCTTTCAGCCTCTGGCTGAGGGGCAGGTTTGTTAACCCAGTTATGTCAATAGCCCTAAGACACAATTTGCTTGTGCAATTCAGCCTGGCAAACTGGTGGCACCATGCATATGAGAAAGTTCTAGATAAAAGCGATAGTGAGGATCACTCCCAGGCAAGGTGGGGGTGAACAGGTCAGGCAGTTCATCCAAAGCATGAAAAAAAGCGCAAAAAATGTGGTGGCATTAATCCTGACCACTCAGGAGAAGTTTCTAGTGGGTTTTTCCTATTCAGTTCCAATAGGGGCATCAGCAGTGCATGAGTCAATGTGTCAAATACCTACAGTAATAAGTTAAAAATATATACACATTTACATTTCAATATTGGTTTATTGTCAATACAACAATATACAGGGTACTGAAATGTACAGGGTACTGAAATGTACAGGGTACTGAAATGTCGTTTCACACAGGTCCCCCATGGTGCACTATAAAGATAAAAAATATAAAACAGACATTTCACATAAATAATACATCTAACTAAATTTTTATGACTAGAATACAAAGTGGTCCAATTAAAGTTCCAGTGAAATGTGCAGGTAGTATTTAAAATACCAGGTTCAAGTTGTGGTCAGAAAATTGTTGACAAGACAAAGACGTGCCAGTTATAACAAGTGCAAATTTGGCATGAGGTAGACATATTGGAGCAAATATTCAATTGAGGTGTGCAAATAAGCATAGTGTGAACGTCCAGTTTGCAGTGTTTCTTTTGTGGGTTTAACGTTCCTTTGGTGGCAGTGCGTTGAGAGCTCTGACTGCTTGAGGAAAGAAGCTCTTGCAGTGTCTGGCAGTTACAGTTCTGATGCTGCGGAACCGTCTACCAGACGGCAGGAGAGAGAACAGTGCATGTGAGGGGTGGGAAGTGTCCTTCACTGTGCTGTTCGCACGACGGATGATGTGCTTTTGGTGCAGGTGGGAGATGGCAGGGAGAGGGACCCCGATGACGCTCTCTGCTGTCCTCACTGTCCACTGCAGGGACGTCTTTTCAGCGGCGGTGCACATTTTACACATCTAGCAGACACTTTTGTCCAAAGCGATGTACAAATGAGGCAAATCACATATTGCAAACATACAAGCTGCAAAGGATTCAACTAGGTGTAAGTGCAGCTAGACTGAGCCCAGGTACAAGTGTAACCAACAGTGGAGAAAGATCTACACAACTTCTAATAAAGTATTAGATTACATTATGAATCTTCGGGAGACCCATCCATCCATCCATCCATTTCGTGTAACTGCTTGTCCTATTCAGGGTTGTAGGAGGTCCGGACCCTATCCCAGACGCTATGGGCGCGAGGCAGGGAACAACCCAGGATGTGGGGTCAACCCATCGCCGTCCACAGGAGACAAGCTTAATTAATATACAACTGTTTAATAAAATAGACTGTAATTCTGGTTCTGTTTATTCCATTGTTTTTTGGTTACTTTTGTAGGTGTCATGTCATCCTGGAGCTTCTCTGCTATATGAGCGATAGTGACGTAATGGAGGCACAGTTCTTCCCATCCTTGCCCCCAAACCTGTCCAATACACTGATGTACGAAGACACCTTCCTTTCGGGTGACGAGTTGGATGGCAGTCTAACAAACGGAGTATCGAATGTCACCGATCTCAACTTCGACAAGACCAGCACCGTGGTCATTACCTTCATGTACTTTGTGGTCTGTGCCGTGGCCCTCTCCGGCAACACGCTGGTCATCTATGTCATCCTACGTTATGCCAAGATGAAGACCGTCACCAACATTTACATCCTGAACCTGGCGGTGGCTGATGTACTCTTCATGCTCAGTCTGCCCTTCATTGCCATCCAGCTGGCGCTGGTCCACTGGCCCTTCGGTGAGGTGATCTGCCGGGTCGTCATGACCGTAGACTCGCTCAATCAGTTCACCAGTATCTTCTGCCTGATGGTGATGAGCATCGACCGCTACTTGGCTGTGGTCCACCCTATCAAGTCCACCAAGTGGAGGAAACCCCGAATGGCTAAAGCCATCAACTTGGCTGTGTGGAGCATCTCTCTGTTGGTCAATCTGCCTGTTGTCATCTACAGCGGCCTGATCTTTAAGAAAGACAGCTGTTTCTGTACCATTGTGTGGCCAGAACCCCAGGAGAACTACTATAAAGTCTTTATATTTTACACCTTCTTCCTGGGTTTCTTTTTGCCACTCACAGTCATCTGTCTCTGCTACCTTCTTATCATCGTCAAGGTCAAGTCCTCTGGGATCCGGGTGGGCTCCTCCAAGAGGAAGAAGTCAGAGCGAAGGGTGACGCGCATGGTCTCCATCGTGGTGGCTGTGTTCGTGCTCTGCTGGCTGCCCTTCTACGTCTTCAACGTCACCTCGGTGACGGGCACCATCAGCACCACACCGGCACTGAAGAGCACCTTTGACTTCGTGGTGGTGCTGGGCTATGCCAACAGCTGCGCCAACCCCATCCTCTATGCCTTCCTCTCAGAGAACTTTAGGAAGAGCTTTCAGAATGTCCTGTGCCTGAAGAAGGTGGGTGGACTGGATGAGGTTGAGCGTACCGACAGCCGGCAGGACAAATCCCGCATGGTGAATGATCCTACGGAGACGCTGAGCACGCTGCTCAACGGCGACCTACAAACCAGCATTTAAGCCCCAGACTCTGGGAACATCAGGGAGATGGACACTGTCATCTACCATCACAGAAATACAGCAGAATATCCAACACAACACAGACCAACACAAGCATTCTCCATTCAGTTCCAGGATAATAAACTTTGAAATTTTGAAATGGTAAAGTGTCTGGCTCCACGAGGCATATTAGATGCACCCAGTGTAGACAAAGTACACATAAGGTTCCAGTCTATGATGCTGTTGAAGTCCTTATGCTTGGAGAATGAAGATGCCTGCGGGAATACATGGTGATGATCAGTTTGAGGATCCCAATTTATGCTGCCTCGCAGAACATCCAGTTGCAGGCAGATTCCTTGGTCTGCTCACCATCATTGTTCAATTACATGTTTTATTGGCTCTCATTCTCATTTTTATTGTAAATTTGTTCCTTCACAGTCAGGTCACCATCATTGTTTCAATGATGAAAGTTTAAGGATTCTTTAAGAGATGTACATTCGTCCCTGTAGCTTTCAGCTACAATAAACTCTTCAGTGTTGCTCCTGTACTCTGCCAGTCCAAGGGGAACATGATGGTGGCTATCATCTCTATCATCACTTTTCCTCCAGAACACTGGTTTCAAGATTTAAGCCAACTTTCAAATTAACCACATTCACATGTAAACTGTCAAAGCTTTGGTTTGTTTAGACAGGAAAGCATACCCAAATAAGCATCAGATTAAGAGGTAGCAATTGCTTTGCTGTATTTTACTGATGGACAAAATGACACTTCATGAACCATTTGCTGTATTTTTTGACCCCACTAGATGGTGCTATTGGTTTGCTTTGGGGCATGATTTGTGTCCTTTTTCGGTAAGACATCATCTAGTGGAGTCAAAAAATACAGCAAATGGTTTATGAAACATCTGTCAATACTGCCTCCTGCGACAGAGCCAGTAAATAATGAAATGTCCTTTACAAGGCAGAAGCAGGCATGTCAATATGTGGTCCATCAAAGGCCTTTATTAACTCATGGCTTAATCAGGCTTTGAGAATGTGGCATCGTTTCAGACGCTACTGAGTTTCAGCACTCAGGCACATTAACACCAAAATACTAAGTGGAGCATAACCTTTGCTGGATATATTGCAGATCCCTCCTGACATGAAGAGGCACAAAAACAAAGTAACATGAAGAGCGATTGCAGTGCTCATCCGATTCCCAATGCATCCTTTAGATCAGCGTTCTCAATTCGATCCTCAGGGACTCGCAAACAGTCCACATTTTTGCTCCCAACTGAGGAGGAACAAAAATGTGGACTGTTTGGCAGGGAGCTGGGAGATAGCAAAAACATGGACTGTTTGGCAGGGAGCTGGGAGAAAGCAAAAACATGGACTGTTTGGCAGGGAGCTGGGAGATAGCAAAAACGTGGACTGTCTGGAATGGAGCTGGGAGACAGCAAAAACGTGGACTGTCTGGCAGGGAGCTGGGAGATAGCAAAAACATGGACTGTTTGGCAGGGAGCTGGGAGATAGCAAAAACGTGGACTGTCTGGAATGGAGCTGGGAGACAGCAAAAACGTGGACTGTTTGGCAGGGAGCTGGGAGAAAGCAAAAACATGGACTGTTTGGCAGGGAGCTGGGAGACAGCAAAAACGTGGACTGTCTGGAATGGAGCTGGGAGACAGCAAAAACGTGGACTGTCTGGCAGGGAGCTGGGAGATAGCAAAAACGTGGACTGGTCTGGGGGTCTCCAAGGACCTGGTTGGGAAATATTGCTTTAGATAGAAAGTGAGCTTCTTTAAGTAGAATGGCTAAGGAGTTTCTTTAAAGGATTACCCATGTACCGGACTCCAAGACCTAACCTTAAGTCTGTCAAGTATGTGCACATGTGAAAGTTAAAGAGTGTAGGAATGAATGAGCGAAAAAATTTGAATGAATTGGCAAGGCTTTATACCCAAATCACTGGTGATGTTACAACTCACGCGTTTCATCATGATGCATATAATGAGTGGTGTTTTTGCGGCCTGGCAGCCTAAAGTCTAATCAAACGGCTGCTGGACTGTACAGTTCCCTGCTTTACGAAGAATTTGTCATACTTGTCACGTTGACATCTTTTCTGAACAAAATACGCTGCCACTAATGAGTTTCCATGAAGGATTAAACATTATAGGAAATTGGAAAGGTTCTTTGCTATTTGTTTACTGCCCACAGATTTATTTAGATAAATTATTGAAGTAAAATTTAAATTATTACATAAATTATTTAAAACTATTTATAATTAACAAACATTTTTTTAAATGGTGTAACTACTGCAAAGACAAGTATCACAATGTAGATGGATTACAGTCAAACAGGCACAGCTTGGTCAGAGATTTCTGGCCCAAACAACTTAAACCAGACTTTTGTGGTTAAACGCACACTGTAAGGAGGTCAGAAAGGTCTGGTACGTGGCATCCGTGACCCCAGACAAGGGGCACTTCCCTGCAGTCTCCATCTCTTGTCCTTTTGACTATTTTAATTCTTCAGGCCTTCTACTGCACTTATGCTCAGGCACTGACTGGCCATGAGGACATTTGGGAATTTTCCCGATGGGCCTCGTACAATCTTCTTGTCAGACAATACTCTAAAATAGTATACTATGCTCTACTATACTATACGATGTCTAAGATACATCAGCATGATGGTGTCCAGTAAAAAAAGAAGAGCTTCCCCCCGGAAATGGAACCTAAAGTGAAATTGCTCAGTGCCCGCCATCTATTGGGGAAAACCTGGTACTGCAGTTTAATGCATTTCTTCTTACTTTAATCCATTAGTCGGCAGCAGCAGGCTATAAAATAGATTACATACAATTTGCAAATTTTTCATAGTTGCCAAAATAGTTTCTTTAAAAATAAAAATAAAAATCTGATTTCTAACTGCATGGTTATGCAGAACAACATAAGGAAGCCTTACATTATAGCATATAAAATGTCAGTTAAACATGAAGCGTTGTCAGCGTCAACATGTGTAGAGTATTGCAGTTCTACGAAATAAATTACGATATGATTTTTTTTTTCATAATGAACGCAATACATCATTATGTCACAAGATGGCAGAAGAGAGTCAATTTTTAGCAGCAGCAGGGGACAATATGACGCGGTCCTGAATTTTTACTGTGAAGGGATCAAAGTACCACGTTTGTATTGTTGTTGTTGTTCTTTTTTTTTGTGTTTCTGTAAAATGCTATATATTTTACAGATCTGTATCAAACGACTAAAATCATTGCATAAAACCAGTCTATTGAATACCCATCAGAGTAATGCTGAAAAAAACCCATGTAAATCAGCTTTAATTGCGCATTTGGGCATTTTTCCCCATATTTTTATATGCACACTTTCAAAGCCACTGAACTTCATAAACATACAGTAAAGAAGATGGGCAATATATTGTAGTAATGTTTTTTTTGTTTGTTTTTTAACGTTATCTATAGTCGCAGGTGTACAAAGTGATATTACCTTTAAGATCTGTATTAGTATTTAAATAAGAGTTCAATTGGTTTATTACCTGCTAGGTCAATAATGCTGTCCAGCAGAAATAGCGGTCTCTTCCATGATGAGGGCACGCCTATGGATCACGTGATTGTTCCTTTTTTCCTTTTACTTTCAGTTTTGTACTTTCTTATTACAGTGTTAATACCAGAGCTAAATGTGATTCTACAGCCACAAGCTACATAGCTACTATATTGGTTTTGTGCCATATTGTTGATTCTGGGAAGGTTTCATCTCAACCATGAGACTGGGACCAAAGAAGAGTGTTTGGAAAGGGAGTTGAAATGCTTGCTTGCACAGCCATGACTGAATTGCCTTCCCAAGATGCACCTGGCTAGCGTAACTTACATGTACTGTAAATAGATTTGCCAGCCAAATCCACCAACAGGCGCCTGTGAACATGTGGTTCTTGTCACTTCTATTACTGTTATTGCTGCGACGATTAGTTGAAATATTGCCACCATTAAAGTAAATCACATATTAGTGTCTTAGGGTCCGACTCTTCGTTCTTTGGAGATACCGCGATAGGCGGGCTGAGAGATAACTACAGTAGAGTCAAGGATCACCAAAAGCCCTGGAGTTGAGACAGCTTCAAGAGCCAGCTTGTGCAAAAAGATATGGTGTTTAATAGGCAAGACATTTAACCTTCTGGGATAACGAGCAACAAAGACCTAATCCCTTCCACCCCTCAAGAAAGCCACACAGAGTGGGGAAATGAACAACAATATCATATTCAATAAGGATATTCATCTATACATGGACTGGAAAGCACATTTTCAGTGTTCCCACATAAATTGTTATGGCTTCTGCTGCCTGTTTTTAAAGTGGAATGGACACCCTGCCTCACTAAGAACATTGGTCAGTTCTAATCTCTCACATTTTAGTGCTGTATCCTGCTGTTCACACCATGGGACTGGCTGTCACTCCATATGAAACAGCAAATCAATCCTTAAAAAGCCCAGGAACTGCTCAGTAGACGTCGATATTAAGTTTCAGGGACGATGTGCCCGTGATCAGAAGGTTCCTGGTTCAAATCCCAGGGTTGGGATTTGGGTCCTTAAGCAAGGCCCTGAACCTGCAGTTGCTCCTGAGACTGACCCTGCCTTCAGAAAAAAGTATGTTCTTTGGATATAAGCATTTGCTAAATAAATCACATACAAATGGTGAGTTAAATTTAGCCCAATATTATTGGTTAAACACACTGAAGACGATGTAATCGGGTCAACTGGGGCAAACAGAGACACAGTAAACACATGGGCAGGAAGAAGGGCGAGGGCTGGTCTAAGCTGCATTTTGTGTAATTTGATTGAGCACCAAAGCATCTTGCAGTTGATGGAGATTTGTGGGATGCACATCCAGGGCACGAAGCTCCCGTTCCACCACATCCCAAAGATG